TTAGCCACCACACCACTTCGCAATCAACACCGACTGCCAATCAAAATCCCTCCTTCCCGATAAATTCAGCCAGCCGGCTAGACTTGATCGTAAATACGGTATTTTAAACACCGCTAATTACGAGCTCGCTGCACTTCCCCCTAAGAGTAAGAATGGATCCTTCTTCGCCCAACAGATCGTTCCCACTCCATATTCTTGCTTTCCAAAAACGCTTCGAAGGAGGCTCAGCGGGCTGTAAGCAAAGTTAACCCCGATTTCCCCCCCCCCCCGCTCTTTCAGCGTCGGCCCATCGTGACAAGAGGCGCCATTGCTGCAAAGGATCCAAAGACCTCGGAGGGGGGGGAAAAAGTCCCAAACCCTCGAGAAACGCCCGGGCGCCCCTCTTCCTTCCCTCCTTCCGGCTCAGCGCCATCCGAATTAAAGGACGAGCCGGCGGGCGGCCATTGGGGGAGTTCACGGGAGGGGGGGGGAGGAAGAAGGGAAAAGCAACTTCTTAAAAAGAGCGGAGCCCCAGCTCCGAGGATCCCCGAGGAACGCCGGAGACGTCTCCATCCCTCCTCCCGCAGGCCCGCGGGCTTCCGCCCGGCGTACCTTGGGCGGCCTGATCTTGCAGATGCCCGTTTTCTCAGCCAAGGGTCGGATGCGGCCGATGAAGCCGAGGGGGTTGCTGAACTCCTCCCAGCTGGGCTCGAAGACGGGGCACTCGGGCGGAGGCACGAATTCTGCCACGTAGTGCGGCCCATCGAGGCCGCCGCCGTCGTCGTCCCCCGACATGGCGTCGGCGCCGTCGTTCCTGCCGCTGCCTCAGGGCCCGGACGAAGGAGCTCGGCTCGCGGGGATGGGGGGGGGAGGAGGAGGAGGGAAGGCGAAACCGCTTAAAGATGGACCAGGGGGCGGAGGGACATCCCGGTACCCAGCGAGGAGCAAAGGCGATCCCGGCCGATGAAGCAGCGCCGTTCTTTCCAAGGCAAGGCCGCAGCTCCCTCAGGCCGGTCCAGGCCCCCGTTTGTTTTTGTTCGCCTCCCCCCCTCCCGCAAGGATTTGCTGCTTTGCGTGTGTGTATGTTTTTTTTCCCCCTTTTCCTTTTCCTCCCCTTCTTGAGGCTCAGCGGAAGTGACGCGTCTCAGTTAAATCCCCTCTCTTGCGGAAGCGACTCATCATATCCTTCCGCTGATCTGGTTTCAAAAAAAATGTATCTAGTCCCGGCTCTGTTGTTGTGTATATGTGTGTGTTTTACTGTTCTCGGTCTGAAGCGCTTCTCTCTCGCTCTGCGTTATCCGCTTTAGCACCTCATCCGACGAAGCTATGGATGATGCCCCGGCAAATGCTAGGAGAGAGCCGAGGGCGATAAGGACTTCGAAGTCGTGGAGCAGAATGAACGAGGGTGGGTGTGTAGGAGTAGCGGGGGGGGGGGAGTATGTATGCCTGCGCGCAGGTCTTTCTTTCGGCGGAGCCGTTCTACAACAAGAACTTCCGGTGCCGAAAGCTCGTTTCCCCCTTTCTGGTTCTGTGGGAATAGATTCCGCCCCGCCCCTTTCCGTGCAATCTTTGCGAGGCCGCGAGCTGACTGTCGCGCGCTCCTCTCCCACAAGACTATCCCGTCAGTTATCCTCGCATTCCTCTCCCGTCCGGCCGACAAAGAGAAACCTGGACTCCGCCCACTTGAAAGTCCCACAAGCCTCTCCAAGTACAGTACTGAACTCTCCATAGGCCCCGCCCACTCTGTTTCCACAGTAACCGCCTGTCCCTTCCCCCCCCCATAAAAAACACGGCACCGCAGCGCCCTGGCCCCCTCGCAGTCCCTCAACCAACTTCCTCGGGGGGGGGAGGATCTGCTGTTGTCGGATCCCTGAGAGAAGGGTTTTTGTTTTTTTTTTGCAAAACTGTAATTAGCATTCCCTCAGCACCTTGGAACGCCATGCCATAAAACAATTCTCGGCTGAAGAGAATATTCGTGCAAAGATACTGTTTTCCTCTCTTTTCCTGAAAAAAGTGTCTATTATGGCTCACCTGTTGGTTTTTTTTGGGTGGCTCAAAAAGCTAAGTAGGGCCAAATCTGGGCCTTCTAGCAGCTGTTCAGTTGTAGTTACAGGAGCTGTTATATTAATTATAAATGACATAATTATAAATGACATATTCATTATAAATGACAGCCCTTTATTTCACAATACAGTACAGATGTATTCAATATAGTTTTCTTGGTTTTACTTTTTTTCCTTTGTAAAGCCAAGTTTAAAAAAATAAGTCTTATTAACCCTTCCAAATTTGCCCTTTATTTTTTATTACTTATATATACATATATATATATATATGAGAGTTAATTACGCTAAAAATCCGACTCTTGGGAATCATAGTAAACGAATAAAACCGAGCACCAAGAGAAGTAAAGTATAAAAGTTTAAAAATTTACTGAGCCAAGCTTTCGTCAGAACCCGTCTGACATCATCAGGGCGTTAAAACAGCAGTCTGGGAGAAACCCTTATAAAATGTGTGTGTCAATTGCTTGCATCCGGCTTCTGCTACGCGTCATCGGACCCAGCTGCTCCTGCCGTGCTAGAGGCAAGGTGCCTACTCCCGTGTAGGGGGTCCCTTTAAGTGTTTCAACACTTTACTTTATACTTTACTTCTCTTGGTGCTCGGTTTTATTCGTTTTATATATATATATATTTAGCACAAAGCTAAAAGCACAAGCCTGATGATGATGAATGTGATTTCATCGAAACGTCGCTATGATACTTCTAATCTTACATGGGAGAAAACCCGAATGACCAAAGACTCACATATAAACACCCGTGAAAACCTTAAAAAACAAATATATATATATATATATATATATAAAACGAATAAAACACATACTTATGAACCCTTCAGATTTGTCCTTTATTTTTTTCCAAGAAAATATGGTTACTGTAGCGACAATACTATTTACCTGCATTTTAAATAGCAGAAAACTGCACTAGCGTGAAATTGGTGCCCTGTTACTGATCTCTATCCTGCCTCTGTTCCAAGTCACTGCCAGTCACCTGACAGCTCTTCAAGGTCATGAGTGATGGTATACAGGTCTTAGACATCCTCAGCCATGTTGGAATAAAGAGAAAATGTTACCTGTAAAACAACTGAGGGTTACTTTTGTCAATATTACTCATGGGGTGAAGAGAACATTGCAGACACAGAAGAAGAAAAAATATGGCATTGACTGCAAGTGAGGGATAGATTTTGGTCAGTACTTAGTTGGAAGACCACCAGGACTACAGGCTACACCAGGGAAGGAAAACAACAGAAGCAACAGCAAACCATTTTGTAATCTTTGTCCCAAAATCTGTATGGATGTGGCCATGAAGTAGGCCAAAGGAGATTTCATTCATTTCAAAGGAGATTTCATTCATTTCTATCCTGAAAAGAATTCTTTGAGGGAGATATGCCAAAGTCTTTCTTATGTTGAGTGCCTTCAAATCTGGAAGGGTACCATTGTTCCAAATAATGTAAGGTGCTTTCCTGAAGTACTAGGTGCTTTCCTGAAGTACTCTCTAAATCTGTGAAACAAAGCCTAAAATTTCCTGCCATTTCTATCAGCTTTAAATAAAGATGAAATGGTGGGGGGGATTGCAATGACTTTCATTTCTTAAACAAAGATAAAGGGGATTTTCAAGCAGCTGATTGTTCCATTTATTGTTATATATTTTCCTACTAACAAGATCTGGGGCTAAATTAATACTTAAATTGCTAGAAATCATGCTCTTTTTTCTGGAAGGTGGTATCACTTCCGGGAAGGGTTCCTTAGTATTACAATTCTGCTTTGGGGAATGAAATAAAAAATCTTTTCTACATAGCTATTAAAATGTATTTAAGGATTTATAAACTACCTTCCAACACTGCTTATAGAACAATTACCAGAAAAATAGCAATAACAATATCACAAAGTAGAAGTAATAAAATGTTAATTACAAAATCTAAAATGCAAGTAATAAATATGGAATAATAAGATCTGTACCTAGTCTTTTCCCAATAAATATACAAAATTGTTTTGCTTTATAGGACAAAAAGTAATGCTACTAACATAATTGTTAAAAATCTTTAAAGTTACAATTAACTTTGATTGTACTTAACCTGTAGCCAATTTGCCAAACCTGTTCAAGACAATAATTGGTTAATGTGTTCAGAGATGGTTATACAACTTATAAGGTACCATATTAAGCACATGCCTGCCCAGTGGTTGTTAATCTCTATTTTTAATCAAACAGGAAAAACTATACTAAATTTATCAAACTCATGAACTTGTGCATATTACTTCTCAATTACGTTTTGGTGGAGTCCTAGAAATACATGTAAATATATATGTCAATTATAATCTTCAAGGGATTTCCACGTGAAAATAAATTATGAAAACTAGTGATATTAAAATAGCACAATATATAACACATAACTTAGTTTTTTAAAAAGGTTTTAATCTTATCCTGCACCAGGAAGGATTTAACTTCTGCATGTAAATTCAAAATTAAATTCTATCCTATTTGGTTACCACAGGATAAAAAGACAATTTGTGGGCAGTCCATTGTTGCTTATCTCTAGTAATATTGTGCCACAAGCTTTTTGCTAGTGCAACAAAGCGAATAAGGGTCTTTCTCTGGAAGTAAGCGATACACAAATTATTTACTAGACGAGGAATGGAAATGCCAGGCAGCCTTAAGGAGACTTAGTGCTCTCGACTATGTAACTGCACTAAAACCACCCGTATTTTCCGTTCATCAATCGGTTTAGGTCTTTCATCCAGTTGTCAAAATGATCCAAGGAAATTATTTAGACTTGTATCGACTCTCATTACTCTGTAGCCGAGACTTCACTACTGTACCCACAGAAGTCTAGCAGACAAGCCGCGCGGATGAGTAAAAGGTTGTGATTGGGCAAAATATCGGACATCGTTTATTTCCTTTCTCCTGATTGGAGGATTTTCGCAGCCTGTTGTTTGATTTTTGGTTTTTCCGTTGAGACCCGCAGTAGGAGCGGAGGGAACAGCGGAGTTATCGGCGCGTTAGAAGGAAAGTGCAAACTTCTGGTGCCGAATGGGACCGAGGAGGGTGCGTCACGGGGTTTCACGGCGGTCTGGTAGGATAAGGGGAAAATAGTGTAGCTTCTGGTTGCTTTCGTCCTTTTTGACATTAAACCAGAAGTATCCCGTTCAGATGGTTGGAAGACCCAGACTGTTTCCACCAAGTAAACGACTAGGCTATACATGCTTCATTTTTTATTTCCAGTTCTTATTAAGGGAACCTGCATTAGTATGACAGTTTTGATGTGGGATTTGAGCTGGCGGAGAATGAGAGTCAGATTTCTTTTCAGTTGCGTAGTAACCTTCCCTCAGTAGCCAAACTCAAGATTATTGGGTGCAAATTGTCACTTTTCAGAAGCAATTAACCATCAATGAATCTTCCATTATTTGTTGGACTTAAACTTCCTTTCAAAGACCACACACACACACACACAAACCACTTGCTTATCTTGAATATAACCGCCATTTTTTCCCCCAATAGCTACTATGGGATTTGTTTTATATACCATGCATAGTATAGCAAATCCTTTAACATTGTAGGCTGTCTGCTCCAATTCTGTTACTAATATCTTGCTAATTTGAATGGATTAGAAGATGATGAGGCAAGCTATAGTTATGGATCCTTGGCTTTCCTATTTAGGCAGATTATAATGTACATGTATGTGTTCTTAAGGGTTAGGAAACTACATATTTGATAGGATTTAAATACAAAGTCGACTCTATTTTATCATTGTGAAATGGTGAACTCTACAGGACTGTAGGGAATAACTTGTTTTGTGTCTTCTGACCAATCCAGTTCAATATCAGTCCTTAATTTTCAACAGCACAAGAGATGGGGCTAAACTTTGCAAAGAGTGTATGTGCCCATTATGCAGAAACAAACTATCTTCCGTGTTTATAGTAGAAAGTAGGGATTGCTTCATACAAAGACTGATATAAAGCACTGTGCTGCAATTACCCACCATTTTATTTTCTAAGAATGTCTCCAAGATCTATGTAGGTTTCAAACACATTGTTAAACGGGCTAGGGCTGCAGCATATTAGTTTCTCACTCTTAAAAAAAGAACCTGAAGAGAGTGCAATTTGTATAGGGCAAGACACCTGTATACCATAAGCACCAAGGAATATGCTGGGGACACTCTAACTTGCAGATGCTGTCTTGGATGCTCAGAGATAGAACAATAGATTTATGATGCTTATATGGTTATTAATATAGACTAGTAAGGGATCTTGGTTGTTTATTTTGAGTAAAATTGAGTTTGTAGTTTCAGTCTAATTTTATGTCAAACAATGTGCACAGCAAAACCCTTATGTATATGTTATAATATATGAAGTTTCTTGTGAGTATATATTTGGCATATATCGTGTTCATTGAAAAGCTGTATGTGATTGTGCTTACATAAATGATGTATTATGACCTATTGATGAGGTTATTGGCTTTATGCACCAAGATATTCTTATTTAATGTATTCCAGACCTGAAATTATGCATTTAAAAGTGGGCTAAATAAATCCCAAGGATTCTGGCAGAAACCATTAAGTGGATTGTGGGAATGTGTGTTGAATGACTGAGGTTCATTGGAGGATTACCCACGCTGAAAAGAGAAACTAAATTTAATTGGAGTACAAACAAAACTTTTCCATACAATTTGAATAGTAAATATGAATTGAACTTCACTTGCTTGAGTGAAGTTCTTAAATTATATTAAAGATTTTGGAGGATTTGTTTGTTTTTAATGATTGGAACATTTTAGTAAAGTTAAATATTAATGGAGGAGCTCCAATAATACAAACATTATTGTCATGTTCACATTGTTTCAATCATTGTTCCTTAACTACAACTAAGCCACAATTGATTCTGTCCACAAAAGACTTTCATCCATAAGCCATGCCTTTCAAGCCACAATATTTCATAGAGCATGCTAAGACAAACCAAAGAAACCACATAGTTGCATTATATGAACCAAGCCATAGCTCTATAGCAATTGTCACAAATAAACCCAAAACAACTTAAATCGCCAGTTTTTAGAGCTGTTACAGATCAGAGCTGAATTGGACTAATCTTATTTTAATCTACAGTATTCCATGAGTTATTCCATTTTTATTGAGTTGAATTACATCTACCATTGATGTAACTCATCTCCTTAAGTTCTTTATTATGGCATATAGGGACAGATTGTGAAAAAAGGTCTAAGAAATGTTTTTGTATTTTGATTTTTTCAAATAAAGGTGAAATGGTGGGAAATGTTTTCTGGCTCAGTAATTCAATATATTAAATGCATTGCAGATGGTGAGAATATGCGCCATGACTACTTCTCCAAGAACACCTTCCAAAAAGTAAGTCAAAGAATTAGGTACTGATTTCAAATGTCTTTTTTTTTCCTTTTCATTTATCTCAAGAATAAGAATCCTGCAAAGCATGATTCATAGACCTCCCAGCATACCATTTTTAGTTTCCAGAGCAACATACTCAGGAATAGGCAAATCTGAAATTTTGGGCCTTTGATGAAGTTTATGGATTTATTTGTTGTTTTAGGTATGATACCCTTTTCAAAGTCAGGCCACTGTTTCTCTTTGGGGTGCTTAAAACTGCATATTATAATATGCCTTTAACACACACACCCAAAACTCCTACAAAATAAAATAAAGTTTAATCCTGCCAATGCAAGAGATATCATGATCAAACTCGCAACGTCACGTGACGTGTCGTGATGTATCGTGACTTTTTTTCCATTGCCAGCAATGGGGTGGGTGCAGTTTTGGCATGACACATCCGGCCATGGGCTGGCAGTTTGACACCCTGCTGTAGACCAAGGCCAGAAAGATTCTCACTCCAATATAGCTTTTGGATCAGTAAGTAAAGCCTACAACAAATACCTAGTGTTTTGAATACAAGGGTTTGTATTCTGTATATAAATGTCAGCTGTGCCTAGTAGTAACCAGCAATGGACCCATAAGAGTAAATAGTTTGCATTCTTTCATTAAGGTGCATAGTTACCTAATTTCTACCTTTTTCCATATAAAATGAAAACAAATGCTCTCAAAGTTCTCATTTAGCAGAACAATCCTAATCTGGGCTGTGGGTAGGAATCCTGTTTTAGGGACCACTCCCATCCTTCTAATCCTTCTAGTTTAATGAAGAGAAGGACAAGGGGGGGGACATGATAGCAGTGTTCCAATATCTCAGGGGTTGCCACAAAGAAGAGGGAGTCAAGCTATTCTCCAAAGCACCTGAAGGCAGGACAAGAAGCAATGGATGGAAACTAACCAAAGAGAGAACTAAGAAGAAACTTCCTGATAGTTAGAACAATTAATCAGTGGAACAACCTGCCTCCAGAAGCGGTGAATGCTCCAACACTGGAAGTCTTTAAGAAGAGATTGGACAGCCATTTGTCTGAAATGGTATAGGGTTTCCTTCCTGAGTAAGGGGTTGGACTAGATGACCTCCAAGGTCCCTTCCAACTTTATTATTAGTATTATTATTAGTATTATTATTATATCTTTCCTTTCAGTGTGCCACCTATATCTAAGATATAGCGTGTTAAAAGCTTTTAGTAATGTTAACTCTTTATATATATATATGTTTTTCAGATCAAACACTCCACGTGCTGCTTCCAAGGGTGGTGTCCTCCCTTCTCCTCACCAAAGTGATTCTACCCCTCTTCCTTCAATCAATGAACGTCTGGCCTATCTTCGCCCCTCTCGGGAGCTGCTGGAGTACTATCGAAAGAAGATTGCAGAATTTGATGAAGAGCATGAAGACCTGGTGAAACGGTTGGAAGCATACAAAGCATCTTATGATGAACAGGTAAGAAAAAGGGAATGATAATCCACCAAGAGACAGGTGATCTGGAAAGCCACATAAGGAAGCTTCAAGGCTTATTCCTCTGTCCTTTTCCATAATGCAGTCGTGATTCTTCTATTGCTTTGAATTTTCTGCAAAAGCTACATAGAAGGCATTTTCACTAAAAAGTATTAAAGAGAAATATGAATTATCTGGAACCTGGTTCCCTACATTATATTTATCTGAATCCTCATATTTTTTAAAAAAACTGTTTTAAATCACTGATAGTGAAAGAAATCTTTATCCAACTTAGTTTTTAAAAGAATCAACATGGGCTGAAGCATTATTCTCCCCCTCCCTTTCCCTCCGGTCCGCCAACTGAGAAAGGGTGGATACCTCTGATCTAGAAGACCATTCTCAGCAAACCCAAGAGATGGTAAACAAGGAGAAAACATTTGTTACAAGTTGCAGAACTTGACTAAGCATCTTTTTGGCAGGTTAAAATGCTAGCATTCCACCAAGAAGTTGCCTTGGGTTTGAGATGGAATGTGATAATGAGAAAAACTTGTATTCTACTTTTGCTTCAGCTGCCAGGTAATTAATAATACTTTTTTCTGTGCAGCACAAGCTTCAATGGGAAATGCGTCAGCGAGAGGAAGAAATTGCAGAACTGCAGAAGGCTCTGAGTGACATGCAGGTGTACCTTTTTCAGGAAAGAGAGCAGGTTCTGCGCCTTTATGCTGAAAACGATCGACTGAAAATCAGGTTTGTGTCCTGAAAGACTGAAAAACGCTAAGTGATTGTCTTTGATGGAATCTATAGCTTTGAAATATATTGGAATTTTGCACATGGACAAAAATAAGATATACAAGAAAGGAATGCAGATGAGAGCAATTTGCTTCTTCCTTACTTTTTATTTTATGACATAGGAAGATAACTGGTATTTGCTTCTTTTATGAGAAAAGATCTATGACAAAGATGCACACTGTCAGTGATAGGATCAACTTACAAACCCTTTCATTCCTCTGCTGTTGTCTTGAGAAAACTGTAAATGAAGCTTCTCTTTTCTCACTGGAATACAAATTGAACTAAGTACACTGTATATCAATGAAGGACCCCAAATATACTATTTTTCTCATACACAAAACATTGTCTTTTAGAAATGTTTAAAATAAATACATACAGTTGAGTAAGAGAGGTATCTCTTTTGTTCAAGTTAATAGACTACTAATCAAACATTTCCCCCCAAAAAGGGCCAGGGGGTCCATTTCCTATAAAAATCATTTCCAAGAAATTGTATCAGATTCTCAGAATTCTTTCTTGACCCTTTGTTTAAAAAAAAAACCCAATAACCTCATTCACATATGGACAGTTCATATTTATAAGCTTTTCACTGTTGCAAGTCAAGTACAGAGGATATCTTCCACTGTTGTGGGATATTACTTTATGCAATCTCATGATGATAGGAATTTTAGAATTACCATCTGGACTGATACAGGTTTCAGGAGTCACGCTGAACATTTCTACTTATATGTATGTCTTAGTACTAAAATGGAACCTCCTCTTCCAAAGCATCACATTGGTATTTCCCCCCAAATAATTTAAGAGTCTGATTTTAAACAGTCTCTAATTTATAAAATGGTTTGGTAACATTGCCTCCTGGTGGCTAAAGACTCAAGTTCACATTCTTAGTAATAAGATGCTACTATAATTTCTATTAGTTCTTTCTGAAATAGAAAAAAAAATAGAGAATATCTTCAGTAGAGGAGAAATTAATTTTAAGACATTGTGTTTCCAACCATTGGTTTGCCATAGAGTTTTCATGAGGATTTATGTGGTCAGATTCTATAAGAAAGAACTTCTAGAGCATGTAAAATAAAAGGTTTGCTTTTCAAAGATTAGATGAACCTTGAAGTCAACAAAAAGTGCAGCATACCTCAGCATTTAGGAATAGAAATAAATTGCTTTATTTTCAATGCATTACTGTATAGGGAATTAGAGGACAGAAAGAAGATTCAACATCTTTTGGCTTTATTAGGAACAGACAATGGTGAAATTACCTATTTTCACAAGGAACCACCAAATAAGGTAATGACCATCAATTAACCTAGATATTTTTACTGCATGTATTTTATTTTATAAAATACATTACTTACATTACTGATTATGGCTTATTAAAAAGATTTAAATAATTGTATAAAATGTAGCTGCAACAAAGTATTTTTTATTTTTGGAGTGAAAAGTACCATTTAGTTCTTAGAGAAAGAGCAGAATATAAACATAATCACATCCATAAATTTTCAGGCAAAAGATAATGGAAGTCAGTAAATGAAATTGATGAATTTGTGCCTCATAGGCCTAAATCCAGTACTTTCCCAAGTGACAGTTCCAGAAAGCCTTGTAAGTCAAGGTTGGTCAATCTATTATTCCAGTCAAGTTGTTAAAAGTAAATAATTATATAGGTCAGCTTTTACAAGAATGGCTTTTAGTGATAGACAAAGTTTAGCTATGCTACTTACATTATCTATAAATGCTAAGGACAGCATTGGTCAGTTTTGTCATGACTTGATTAGTGTGTTACAAGTAGAACCAAATTCCAGTTTTGCCACAAGTATTCTGAGCAAACTTGGATCTTTAATCTAGAGATTATATTGCAAGCCGATGTAATATTATACCCGCATCTTACCAGCTTGGAAGTATATGCAGTCTACTAACACAGTCAGAAGCAAATGAATTTGTTAAGTGTGCTAGGAAACTGGCAGAATGCTGACTGAAAGATTTGGGAAATGCAGTGCAGCATTTTATTGGCAGAGAAGTGAATAGAGATCAGATTTTTTTTTCTTCAACAGATCATTGAAAAATTAATTTGAAAAAGAAAGTTTATATTTGTTAATCTAGAGAAAACACATGTTAAAGTGAATAAGCATGGTGTTTTACACATTTATGAAATTGAATATCGGTTGCTGAATGCTTTAAGAGTGGTACATGAAGGAAATAAAGCATGCAAGAGAAAACAAAGCATAGGTAATAGCTTGACTTTACACAGTGTAAGGCAAAGTTGTGTGATGTCCCCCTGGTGGTTTAATGTATTAATACATTAATAAAAATATATAAGAATGCTTATAGTGATTTTAGACTTTTATCAGTTGGAAACATGTGTTAGAAGTCTTCATCCTGGTTCATCCAAGCCGGGAATAAATAAGCAAACATGGCGACTGCTTTGGGAAGAAGGTTACAGTTTATTGCAGAAGACAGATAAGCAGCAGAGGAGAAGAAAAAGAGAGTGAGCACATGGGCAGATGGTCTTTTTATACCCTCTAGCCCTGCCTGGAAGTTTCCTGTTCCTGTGGCATGAACTTTGA